AAGACTACTGCATAAAAGCCGTTAAGCTGAGAGGGTAAAAGCGGCATTGGTGGCGTAACGGATACCGCTCTCGGAAAAGCGTGAGGTGCGTGTTCGACTCCCGCCTGGGGCACGACTTTTGCCATAACGCAGCATTCTTGTACAAACCGTAGCGTTTTGTCGCTATTAAGCATCCCGTGGAAATGGGATTAACGTAATAAACTACTGTCCGAACTGCCCGTTCATACAGGAACGGCGTTCACTACTCTAATGGGTAACGACAACATGAATCCTACTATATATAATCCGCTAAGTTTGTCTGTTGGTGTGTGTGTGTTTGTGTGTGTGTTTGACCGGAAATTCATAACTTCCTTCAAATCAGCCGCAGAGAGTTCAAATTGATAAGTGATATAGGGGTGCGACGGGAATATTATTGGTGGGTGACAGAAATTGATAATGACTGATTAGAGCTGATAAACGGCCTTATGAGGGTAGATTCAGCAAACTCGTGACGTGGAGCGTTGGTTCCAAGAAGTGATATAGGGGCCTGGACTTGAACATGGACTTGAACACCATTGCTGGGTGACAGGAGGTGATAACAGCTGATAAGATACCATTTTTAAAGAGGGTGACCCCGAAATTCGTAGCAGAAGTTGTAGCAAGAGTGGGGAACTGCTTCCAATGAGTAATTCAGGGATGGTTAGAGCGCGTTCAGACTTCGCGATCGCGCGATCCGGATCGCGCGATCGCTGTGATCGCGCGATCCATCGCGCTACTGTGGGTGAAATTACACCGGGAGGGAGTCATCATGTTTATTGTTCCTGTTCTTTTTTTCCTTTTCCTTCTTTCTTCCTTTGTGTACATAACGCCCTCCTAATTTTAAGGAACGTTTCGAAATATCTTTGAGTTATTTATTATTTCCTATGTAAAATAGTACTAAATATACAATATGCTAATTATTATACTGAATTTTGCATCTGAGTACGTTCAAGCGGAGTATTGAACATCTTGTTCCAAAAGTAAGACACGCAGAACTTTCAACAGCGGGTGATGTTGTTTCTCTCCCTTCCCCCGATTTTGCCAGTCCTCCAGATATTCACTTTACTTTTGTCACATTGTTTGCTTTGTTTGTTCTGCCATCCTCCAGGTCTATACACAACCTTTCCTTTCGACGGTTTCTGCAAATCGTCAGTATTGCGAATATGAACACGGCCTAAAAGACATCAAAAAAGGTCGAACTTACTTTTATATCGTTTTTGGAACTGCCTACTGGGGCAGGATACAGCATCGTGATGTGAGAAATGGTGATATCAGTACGACTCCCTTCCCAGAACTTTGTGTCTTGTGGTGGTTTGTTGAGTTGAGTTGAACATGAGAGGAGAACATGCCGCCCCCTCCCGGTGAATTTCACGGGGGTCCGGACCTTTCCCGCGGGGTCGTGTGGATGGGGGGCGGGATAGTTCCGGGAGAGACCACACAACGCTCCCGCCCCACAGCCAACAAGCGCACCGGTGATGCCTAGCATCGGATGTACGGCGGCGGACCGACCAGCGTCCGGCGGTACGTGCGCGGCCAGGCGCGGAGCCCACAGTAGCGTGATGGATCGCGCGATCGCTGTGCGAAGTCTGAACGCGCTTTTAGGGTACACGTTCGCATCTGTTCCCTTCTTGCAACTAAACTACGACCACACTTATGTCTGTGAATAGCAGTGGGGGAAAGTTGCTTTGTGAATCAACATGTTTTATATCTTCGGTGATATAGTCGGAGTATAATCTGCGGGCGGATAATTCGACGGCTACAACGCTGGGCGGAGTTTTGACCAGAAATGGAAGCCGCCAAAACTGACCCCTCATCTTTCGACCGGCTAGGGTGTCCGTATTCCCAACAGGTGGTGATTTTTCTTGGAACTATGATAAGCGCACAATTGGCAAGTGATCATTAATGATGAGAAGTATGAACAAGTTGACCGTATTTTGAAACGTGGAAGCCAGGGCCAAGTTTTAGGGGTTTGCCAGGGGATCATGTCAGTGACCAGAAGCACAGACTGGACCATGCGCGCAGAAGTGCGTGTCAGCCAAACTATAGTTGAAAGCAGTAATTCTGGATAATGATTTTCAAAGCAGTAGTGTTATGATTAGGAGATATCATCATAGTAGTGAAGTACTTATATTTCGCTGTAAAAGTTCAATATATGAAAGTAAAGAGGGTTTATCTTGCTCTTCAATCTCACCATGTGCTACTAGACTCAAAACGCGTTCCGCTGGATGAAAATATCTACCGTTTACCGGGAGACATGACACTGTAAATCATACTGCAGGAACGAGGTGTATTTGAACATTAATGATTCTGGCTTAGTTACTTGTAGTAATCGCTGCGGCACGAAGGGCGTGGTAAGGCTATCGAGAGGGGGGGGGGGGGGGGGGGGGGGGGGGGGGGTACCACGGCGCCAGACCTGTTCTCTGCGAGTTTTTGTAGCAGGGATGCGACAGCAGTTGGTAGAAAACGAGTGATATGAACGATATGGTGCAGTCTTGTCACTACTCAGCTTCGAGAGAGCAACGAAAACGGGTTTGGCACCGTCGCAATAGCTCACTCCCTGACACCGCGCCAAGCGCCCCTTTGTATCGCAGCGAACTAAACTATACACCATTTGTAACTCCGTTTCAAATCAAATGATTCAGTCTTTGAATTATCTTACTATGTGGAAGGGATAACTTTTTTCCCCATAATTGCTGTTATCTAACCGGACTGGAGACATCTTACCTTCTAATGTCACGTGCTGATTAGGAACTCTGTGTGTAAGTGATCTTGTGGACGTTTTTTCACCGAGAATAGAAGCACAGATTGCTTTTTGCTAATGTCAGTGGTGCTGGGAGTTTTCCAAGTACTTTTTTTTGTATATGTGGAATTTTAAAGATGATGAACTATTTTTCTCGATTGAATATTTCAGCGTTATGAGCCAAAAGTATACTATCGTGCTGAATCGTCCACGAAAGAAAGGCCTAACTTGGTCCCGTCTCACTTTCCCGGACAGAATCGTTGGATGCATGTGTAAGTGCGATACGTTTGTGAATTTTCCAGTTTGGCTGGCAACGTTAAAAAATTTGCTGATATGATTTCGATTTATTCCGCTTTTTCACTGTACTTTTCGACTGAGCTTTCGTAATTTGCGAATATGGAGAATCTACGAAATCGGAAGAATGCATGACCAACTATTAGATACAAATCGATTGACTCGGCCCATTGCTGAAATGCTTTCATCAGATTTGCGCATTCTCGGACCCCAGATCAGTACGATATACAGTCTTTGGTCAACGCTTCTGTCGATTCATTTAATTCGCATTCCTAAAATATGTAATGTGACCTAAGCAAAATATTCCGTTCATCGAGCGTTAATACCTCTTACGAGATTGGATTTGACTTATTAATGATTCTTTTAGCGTTGAAATTATTATGATTATTTTACGTTGAATTAACCCAGCTTAAATTTTCAAATTAACCTTTGCTTTATTTCATTCTCAATGATCATTTTTCTGAGAACACTTTCTTCTTGGAAAACAGTTTGATGCAGAGGAAATTTCCATTTGGTGTATCGCTTTCTAGCGAGCAAATGTCTGGAAGTTCCAATTTTAGGAGTTGTGAAGAAAGTTGAGGAAAGAAAGAAAATTTCAGTTCCAGAAATTCAAACGACACTTTTTACAGGCGGAGTTTTATTTTGTATATTTTTAAGGTGAGCCCGATTCTGGCCATGTCAACTTCATGATCATTCGCAAGGGAGTACCAAAGCGATGCGAGTGTGGACACTGGTTCAAGGCTATTGATGCTGATCCAGAATCCGTTTAAATAGATATTGTAGAAATCACAGATTTGTTTAGTTTATCAATGAAGTTATTTCTTCGGTTTCTCGTCATTTCATCTAATTGAGGTTGTGTACCAGGTTATGTTTTTTCATATATTCAGTATACTCGACACAATTTCCATAAACCTCGGTTGTTTAAGTAATGAACTTTGGGTTGGCGAGCTGCAAAGGGTTCGTCTGGCAGTTTGGCTATTGTCTTAGCATTAAATATTGTGACCAAACAGTTATTTGAGCGGCTTTAGGCCACAGAACGCAATACTGACAATTATCAGCATTCCCAGCTACATAGTGGACTAGTTCTTACGTAGCGGTTGACTATGACTCTCACCAATAACCGGAGAAGTTCTCTGTTTGGAAGATTTCCAGGGAATGTAGTGGTCATGAGGACTATAGTGAAAGTGCTGTGGCATAGGAAGTGAATAATGGTAGCAAGATTGAGAGATACTGTCCACAGTGAAACTTGAGAACTGGGCAAGCTAATAGTTTTTCCTTACTTTTGGTAGTATTTTTCTTCCTTTTTGGTAGTTCTGTGTGTGGCAGAAGCTCGCGTACTGAAAATTATTATGTATAAAAATGTTATGAGTTGTGAGAGAAAGGCCTCACCACCAGATCTGGCACAGTGCACGTCAAGCCCTAACAACTGGTACGCTCGGATCACTTGGGCTGGCCGTCGGTTCCTTCCATCGCCTTGAGTTTTTTCTCTTGCCCGCGCTCTCTGTACAAAATATCGTTCTCACATCAAGCTCCAGGTTTTGGCTCACGCCCAACGGGTTATTCCTGTTGAGCGGAAGCCCAATGCTCCTGGCTTCGAGGCTCTGCACATGTTGATCGCTTTGTAGCCGCTGTCCTTCATCCTGTCCATGATGCGCTGGCTGGGTTCATACTTTTCCACAGCGTTCAACCGGGTAGCACCAGCGTTTCGAGTGTCCATCAGCACCAGGTGGGAAGTAGATAAATCGAAGATATCGAAGTAGCGAACGCGCAGTTGTCTCAAGGGTCTATTGAAGTATACATCTGTACTCGAGCTAGCTACACATTAAAGGCGAGCATTGTTTCTTGAGCAAGGGTGACCGTTCGCGAGAAAACGCTGGTAGATGCCTGGCTATGTATGAACGTCCTTACAAGGTTTTTGCGACCAGATCCTGCAAGAAAGTTTTAAACTAATCATGTACACTCCTCATCATTACGGACTGTCGGGGCGTATCAGCCAGAAGGAGTGCGCACACTGTTTGAAGCCGTTCTCAGCCTTTTCTTTGAAGCGCGTATGCGACAAAAAGTGGTAGAAAACGAGTAATACGAAGGATATAATGCTGTTATGTCATTTGATCGCTTCAACAACTGGTGCAGAAAGGGCTGGAACCGGAAACGCAGCTTTTCGCAATGACCCTCCCCGACAGTCCGTAAGATAGGAGTATTAAACTCGTTTACCGGGCCAGCTGTTTTTCTTTTAGTCAGCACTGTGTAATGGACTACTTCTGTCTCAGTGTTTATCTTCGAGCTTTGGGTTGTACCATTTGCCTTTTTTCTTTTACTTGCTAACTGATGGTGCTGGGGGCCCTTTTTCCGCTTTTTTTACGGAGGGGCGTGACCCTTGTGAAGGCGTGGCCATATTGGAGAAGGTAGTCTTCCGAGCTCCGTTGTTTTTCTACGTTATGAGCGTTTTGTGTGGCAATTATGGCGCAGTTTTTATGTGGCATCATCATATTTTCTGCTTAGATCTAGTAAACGATGTACTAGGTTCAAGCTCTCGTGAAGAGCGGGTCATCCCATTCCTGCCCTCGACGTTAATTTAATGGGTAATAATTGTGCTCGTCTTCACAAATTAATTATTACGCAATATTGCTATTACAGAAATGTTCCGTCGTCCCGTGGTTCGTACGACGAAACTCCGACATTCGGCTCGATTTGCCGCTAAAGAAGCGGCTCGAGTGCTCGATGGAGCAGAACGATCGTCGTTGACCAATCAGAAACTCGCCAAGCTCGAACAAGATAACGCACACGAGGATCCGCATGCGAACATTGTTTGGCGAAAGGATTTGCCGAATTTCGAAGACGAAATGATTGGTGGTCCCAAGAAGAAAGGCAGTAGAAAACGAGCCGCTGCAGCTCCTGCTGGTGCTGGTACAAATCCAGCCAAGAAAAGAAGAAAATTCCGAGCCCGGCGGTTCCGAAATTTCATCTCAGCGCTTGATGAAGCGAATCAGAAGTATCGAAAGAACAAACGGTTATATCGAGCTTTTTTCAAGGCCACGGCACCGGCTCCGAAAGTGGAGGGCAGAAAGTTTTGCGCTCCGTGTGGAGATGTCGGTATTTACTCTTGTGTAAGATGTGGTACGCCATACTGTTCGATTCCATGCCGTGATATTCATATGGACACCAGGTGTGAACGATGGATACGTTGAATCAGGCCTTTATTGTGTTTTATCGAATATTTCTGTATTCTTGTAATGCTCACAGCAGGTTACAGTTCGGGTGAAGATACACGAAACCAGCTTTTGTAGTGTAGCAAAATTTAATTGCGGGCTCAATCGGAATTGTGAATGTTCTGCTCCAACTTAAGGCTACCAATGTTCTTCACGGAATGAGCTATGTACATATTGTTAGCTTTTTCTTATATTTATACGTAATTTATACGCAGTTAAGAAGTTCCTTGTTTCTGTTATAGACTGTTTTGCGGGTTCCTTCGAAGCTTACAATTTGAGGAAGAATTCATTTGGAATAAAGTTGCTAATTTCATCCATGTTCATGTAGCGACTACTGCACTTGGGGGGTTAGATCTGTACATCCGAGCTGTGGCGACTAGCTGTTTCATCAGTTACCTATAAAATGCTGTGCTTATCGAATTAGTTTCTGCGCAATGTCCTGCTCCTATCTCCTCCTTTGTCCCTGTTTAAGAGAAGAAAATGAGAACAGAAAGTGTGTGGATTAATATTCGTTTACAAGAGAGCTGACTGCTCGCTGAGAAAATTGCAGATTGCCGGCACATACAGCTCCCGGTTTGCTGAAGTGGTTCACCATCTGAACAACAAAAAACTGCGCTCATATCATACCGTGCTGTGTCAAGTGAACAAGCTAGGAAATACACTATTCGTTTGTGCGCCATACTGCCACTGGGGACCAGGAGGCAGGCAAGAGAATCGTAATTTGCCGCGCTGGTGCGCGGCGATGGGAGCGGCGTCTACCTAATTCGTGTAAGCCTGTCGATTGGAGCACCGGATTTCACGTGGGCTACGAAACTGTAGACATTTATGACTATTTTCGGTTCTGCATTGCCTGTTGTCGCCATCTACGACCTGGAACCATCGTCATTTGCGGGCGCGACGTCGCACGCGACGCCATCAGCGCGGTGAATTACGATTCTCTTGTCATAACCCCCTGGGTACCAGCGAAGGTTGTGGAGCGTTACTTTCATGTCGCGGTAAAATAAGCGTGGCAAACGAGATGTCGCACCGAGACCCAATCCACTCGACGTACAGTCTTCGAAGCTGCGGATAAGGGGGCATTTCAAGGATGAATTAGGTGAGCACCAGCTGAAGAAGCACAATCCAACTGCAGATCTTCTTGATTGGTCAAAATTGCTGGCCACCCTAGGTTTTCACAGCGCTGTTTCCCCACTTCCAATTCTCGTGATGTCCACACATTATGGATACTAGTGAGCGCCTTTTTATAACCAAGAG